TTCGCTGACCGATTCCACCTGGAAATGGAGCAGATTGAAACAATCTCTACCAAAGGAACATGGGACAGAAAAAGGAGATTAAATCAGAAGAGGAAGAAAGCTAATGACATAATGGCCAGGCACAAATGCAAAACAAAGTACATAATATTTGTTACAATTATTCAGTGTACTTGCTCTAATGTCTCCAAACTCTAAAAACATGAGGTTCCTGGCTTATTTCAACATCTTCCCCATTTATTTGCTCATATTTACCTTATCCTTGAATCAGGTACTGCTTAAACCAAGTTCTGCCAGCATACGGAATATAGATTTAACAGGACACCCATAGAGCATTTCATGCCTATGAGCACAAATTGTGATATTTTAGGTTGCATATGATGAAATCATTGAAAGCATTATGAGAAGCAGTAAGACACCAGGGATGCTGGTAACAATTTAGCACTTCCCAGTTCATGTGGGAATGTTAATTCCAATTACAAAGAGAGGTACCAAAGTGGAATTCATTATGATTAAGAACTCGCTGTACTAAGTGTGAATTGTTTATAACAGGCATGTCTGGTGTAAAATGCAAATACTGAAGCAGAAAGAGATGGGACATTTAAAGCTTAGCTGCGTTCTCTTGAACTTCTTACCACACAAGGTTAAACAAGAATAGTACTGTTTCCCAAAGTCGAGTTATTTATTGTAAGGAGTCATCTAATAGCTATGATAGCTGTAAAAATAATTTTTTTAAGTAAGTTGTTGGGTTGGCTTAATATAAAATTAGCATACTCAATGAACCATCATATTCAAAATTTTTAATACATAAAAACGTGGTAGGTATTTATTTGATTCCAATTTACATTTACTATCACAGATGTAAATTGTGTGTGTTGGGGGTGGGGGTGAGGGAATAGAACAGATGGAAGATAGAGCCATGACAAAGAATTATGGGCTGTAGGAAACTAAGTCACAAAGAGGTATCCTTATGTAAAAGGAAATATATGTGATAAACAATGGTAGAGGTGGGAATGGATGTTGATATTCCCTTTCTTCAGCAGGATGGACTCCTCTTAAATGACACTACTCAATGCCTTTATCTCAACTAATTCAAGTTCTCCATCCTCCCTGGAAAACAATCGACTGATGCTTAGGGAATGCTGAACACTGCAGCCAAGGTTAATTCTTATGTTCCACACATTTCTGCTCCCACCAAGTTAAGCTATAGGTTTACCAACAGTTCCTTAGGGTTTTTTCCCCCCCAAAAATCTTAATTCCATTTGTGCTTGTTATTGTAATTACTTAAATAATTAAATGATGAAATAGGATTAAAAAAAGTAATAGTTGTTCTATAAAATCTAAATGGAAAGATGCCATATAAACAATCACTGTCAAATTAGGTGGATGCAAGACAATTTTAACAGATTGGGGTGAGGTCAGGAGGCATAAATCATACAAATTCAGAAACTGACACTCATTTATATTTGTAAGTACTTTTAATTTTTTGTTCCAATTAAAAAATGAGGGAAATAGTAATACTACATATTAATAATAATTGATGCTGCTGATTAAACACTTAATAAGTCCCAGGAATTAGTCTAAGCACTTCACATATATGGAACTCACTTAATCCTTCTAGTAACTTGGGTTAATACTATTATCATCCCCATTTTGCAGATGATTGAAACTGGGGAACAAAAAATTAGGTCACCCAAGGTTATATTCTTCATAGTGGTGCAAGTCAGCCAGCCAGTCTTGTTCTTAACTGCTGTGATGTACTGATGCAATGTGGGTACAGTTTGTACACAAATGAAGACATGAACTCCAGTTAGCGGGCTCACAAAAGCTTTCACCAAAGAGGTAGCACATACATGTTGGGTTTTACGTTTAAAACTTTATATTTCCAAGTGTGATTTTTTTTTTTTAAATAATTCCTTTGCTTTAACTGACTTTTCAGTTTAATCAAATACTAGTCCAATTCCAACAGCTAAAAGACTTTGCCTTCAAGAAATGGGCAGGTGTGGGACACCTGGGTGCCTCAGTCATTAAGCATCTGCCTTCCGCTCAGGTCATGATCCCAGGGTCCTGGGATGGAGTCCTGCATTGGGCCTCCTTCCTTAGCAGCGAGTCTGCTTCTCCCTCTGCCTGCTGCTCCCCCTGCTTGTTCTCTCTCTCTCTGACAAATAAATAAATAAAATCTTAAAAAAAAAAAAAAAGAAAGAAAGAAATGAGCAGGTGAAAGACGCTGGTTTTAACAGAATGGGAGTTGGGATCTCTCTACACCGGAAGGGAATTATTATAGATACTTGAGCAAGAGCACAACATGATTTAATTAATGTTTTGGAAGAATAATCTGCAGTGAGGCTTGGATTATTTCAATGGGAATGGGAATGATAAAACCATTCTGTCAATAAATGTTGGCCATGGTCAATAAATGTTAGCCATAAAGCATAACAATTCTAACTCTGAAAAACAGACACTGGGTTAATCTACAGTCTTTGCCGGCATTCAGATGAATGTGACAGACTGAAGAATGAGATTTTTTTTTCTATCAAAAAATTAACAGGCATATGTAAACCACTGAAAATGTTACACTTCTGCCCAACTGAAAGTGTTTTCAGTAGCAATTTTTAATTGAAAACAATGTGAGTCTTTTTCCATTTCAAGGCAATCTCCTGGACTTGCAGACAAAATGAGTGGCAAGAAAGTTAATGGAGAACTCTTGTAAAATCAGTTATTATTTAAAAAACGGAATATATAACCCAAATTTAAAGAGGTAAGAGATGAGGTGGATTCTTTTCTTACAGCAGAGATTCAATTATGAAATAGGTTTATGGTATGGGGAGAAGCATTCTATTAGATAACTGTTACTGTACCTTTACATATGTTAAACATATACAAATTATATATTTTTATAAGGTATCCATACATGTAATAAATTCCTAGTATAACTTTTAAGCAAAGAAGGATAATCATATTGGCATGAGTTATTTAACACACTTTTAAAACATAAATATTACATTAAGTTTGGGTCTTGATTTTTTCTCATCAACCATTTGGCAGTTTGGGGACCCAATCCACGCAAGACATCTGATTTTAGTAATTGAGGCTTCTAAGGTGGAAAAACTGGCAAGTAGGCAAAACAGTGTTCTTGAAGTAAATCCTCAGTGTCCGTTATGAGCACCCACGGCAAGGGCCTCCCTCTAGTTGACTAGCGCCAAGGGAAAGGAAAAGGGAACCATCTCTTCTGGACCCAGAAAGAGGTTGTGTTAACAATTGGGTTGCTCAGCGCCCTTCATAAAAATTCTATGGGCTGAAGGTTCTACGTTGGCAAACGTTTTGGTTCCCTTTTCCGAGGCGGAGAGCAGCTCTTCCTTTGCCAAGATGGCGGCCCTAGAATTGTCTGGGGGCTGCCCGAATAGATCGTCTCCGAACAAGTGCGTAACTAATATGCTTAGTTTTCTCCTTTCACATCGGATAGCACATGGGGGTAGCGCCTACCCTTCAGAATCGAGGAAGGGCTACTTCGGCTCCCTGCGATGGAGAACCTTTGCCAAGATGGTGGACGCGAGGCCGGGCTGGCGTCATCGTCCTTTACCAAGATGGCGGTAAGCGGCTTCCGGCATGCGCTTCCCCCAATCCTCTTCAAGATGTCAGAGCAGAAGCGGCCGCTGCTAGCGTCTGAGCGCTGCCTGAGGAGTGAGTGGCTGCGGCCGAGCGCCCGGGCAGGGACTAGGTGGAGCTGCCGCAGCCTCCGCCCCCGTCATGAGCTGGCAAGCGCTGTCACCTGTGGGGGCGCAAAAGTTACCGCCCCAAACCCTAGAGCCACACAGCACCTTTCCCCGAGTCACAAAAATCATACTAAATGTCGCACAAGGTAGGAGGCTCGGTCCCGGCAAAGCCCAAGCGCAACGGACTCGGCAAGCTGGGTTAGGGGGGTGGGGCGGGCGTCACCAGCGCGGACTCCCCTAGCCCCACGCCCCTCTCCTTGGGGAAAGGCCACGTGTTTCCCTCCGACTGAGGGGGAGGCGCGTAACGGGAACAGCTGGAGGGAGTTAAATGCTGACATTTTAAAGCTGCGTGTGTTTTGTTTTGTTTGGAGGGACAGGGGTCCCGTGTACACGAAAGGGTGGGCGACGCATTGAGTGGAGTGCAGCAAATGTCAAGACTCGGGTGAGGGGCCTCCACGGGAAACTTGGACGCGGGCCCTGGAGGGGGTGGAAGGAGAGGTCAGGAGTTTGCGGGGGAGGGAGGGCGTACTTTGCAACCAACTTACTGTTTCGCCTGCAACTTGCTTTTAGGCCTGCCACCCCCTGTTTTCCTTAAAAATAATAATAAAAAAGTGCAAAGAAATTCAGCTCGCCGGAGGTTTTGCATTTGGCGTGCAACTTCCTTCAAGTGTGAGCGCGCTAGCAGGGAGGGACGGTGGGGGTTGAACTTGGCAGGCGGCGCCTCCTTCTGCCGCCGCCGCCGCCGCCGCCGCCTCGCAGACTCGGGGAAAAGGGTGGGGGACAATCGGTGCGCGGGGGAGGGTGGGTTCTGCTTTGCAACTTCTCTCCCGATGGGAGAGCGCGGCGGCGGCTGCAGACCGGGCCGCCCAGACGATGCGGCGGTGGGAGACCTGCCGGAACGCGACTCCCCCCGGACCAAGAGTACGTAAGCGTCGACCCCCTCCGCTGCCCTCCCTTCCGTAAGCCTCCACAGAGGGCGTGTCTGGCGGTCCGGCCCCGAGAGCGGCAGACACGCTGCGGCACCGTTTCCGTGCAACCCTAGTAGCCCGCGCTAAGTGACACACTTCGTGCAACTCGGCTCCAGGGCGGCGGCGCGGACCACCCCCGCGGCGCTGCTGCGGGCCGCGCCCCGGCCCCCCCTCCCACCCCCAGACAGCCCGCTGTCACCCGCAGGGGCGCTGACGGCGGTTGCCGCGGAGGGACCCGGCCAGCTCTGGAGTGGGTCGGGAGTCGCGGAGCTGGGCGGGGGCGGGAAGGAGGCAGCGAGAAGACAAACTAGAGAAACTCGGCTTTCCTCCCAAGCCCGCCCCAGAGAGACCAGGTCGGGCCCTCGTCGCCTCTCGTCTTGCCAGGGGGGTGGGTGGGCTAGGAGAAGTCCTGCGCGCTCGGGGGGCGGCGGCCGGCCGCTACGTCCCGGGCCATGCCGGGGGCCGGGGGCGTGCAGGCGCCGTCGGGACCCCGGTGGCGGAGCCCCCGCGGAGGGCGTGGGGGCGGGGGCTGCAGCCTCCCCTGCAGTTGCCGAGCGTCGCCAACAGGTTGCACCGTTCCCCGCCGCCGCGCGGCTCCTCGGGCGGGGAGCGGCCGGGGGTGGAGTGGGAGCGCGTGTGTGTGCGAGTGTGTGCGCGCTGTGGCGCCGCCTCCGCCCGCCCCCCGATCGGTCCCGCTCGCTCGCCGCGGTCGGGCGGCCCTTTCGCGTGTCCGCGCTCCCTCCCCTCCTCCTCCTCCTCTTCCTCCTCCTCCTCCATTTTGCGAGCTCGAGTCTGTGACTGGAGCCCCAGTCACCGCCCGCCCGTCGAGGACGGATTCTAGTGGGTGGAAGGAGACGCCGCACCCGGAGCGGCCGAAGCTGCGGGGCGCCGGGACGGAGGACGCGCGCCTGAGAGCCCGGGCTCGCGGGGATCGGCGCGGGGCGGGGGGCTGGCTTGTCAGCTGGGAAATGGGAGACTTTCTCAAATAGGGGCTCTCCCCTCCCCCCCCCATGAAGAAGGGGGCGGCTGTTTACTTCCTTTTTTTAGAAAAAAAAAAAAAAATCTCTCCCTACTGCTCCTCCTGCTTTCACACGTTAAGTTGTTTATCTCGGCTGCGGTGGGAGCTGCGGACGGTGGCTGATGATCGGCGCCCCTGCCAGAGGTAAGAGGTGGGGGGGGCCCGGGGCCCGCACGGGCGCCCGCTCCCCCGAGGTGCGGGCCGTGGACGCGGGGCCGGCTCGGGGGCTGCCGCGGGAATCTGCAAACTTTTATTAGCCTCGGGGAATGGGGGTGGGGGCTGGCGAGGGCCGGGTGATGGTGACGAAAGGGCAGCGCGCGGGTGACAGCGCTGGCCTCTTCCTCTCCCTCGGCCGCCGTCCCCGGGTCGGGCTGAGGGGGAGGAACCTGAGCTCTCTGCGAGTGGAGCCTCTTCGAGCTGCCCCGGCTTTCGGTCCTCGGGTTCCCTGGCGCGGAATTCTGGCTTCTGCAGCCTCCCCACCCCAAAGTCCCCTGTCAGTGCCCTCCCGGGGGGCCTCCCAAACACGCGTTTTATGGTGAACGCCGAGCCGCGTTTGAATTCTACTCGGCCGAATGTTTCCACTCCACCCTAGTGCGCCCGAGCGCGATCAGGGTTTCTGTTGAGGCTCCAGCGCGTCTCTTCTGGCGGGCGCGCAGGGTGTGTGCGTGTGTGTGTGTGTGCACGCGCGCGTGTGAGTGAGTGACTGTACACACGCAGGGGGCTGACAGCCTGCAACTTGGAGACTTCGGTCAGGGCTGGCGTTATCTGGTAGAAGTGGGCGTGTCGGAGAAAGAACTCAACAGGTCTGGACACATTTCTCTTTTTACCCTTGCACTTTTTTCTCCCCGGGGAGAGGGTTTGTTCTTCAGCGCTTGGCATCATTGCGCGCCTGACGCTCCTAAGTGGCCCCTTGTAGAAAAAGACGTTCCCTAGCCGGAATAGTGCTGTGGTGCGTTTTTTGTCCAGCGCTAGTTTGACGTTTGGGGCCGCAGGCTGGGTAACTGCCGCATTGTAATACCACTTAAGACCCCTTGGTACGGTTCATTAAGGCCCATTAATGTGACAGTTACTTGCAATTTAAACTGGGGGCTAAAGTCGTTGGAGGGATCGTTTCGTTTTGTGAAATACTGTTTTGGTTTCGAGTTTGAGGGCAGCTGTCAAAGCGGCGTGGAAATTCATTAGGCTCCATTTGATACCTTGTGTTTAGAGATCGATATCAGATAAACACGGTGGAGGGGCGGGGAGATGAGCAGTTTACCCTCAAGATGTGTAGAAGCAGGTCCCAGCCCTCTCTCTACCTTAATCCCACTCCACTTCCCGTGAGGGCCGGTGAAGTTTCTGCCTCAGAAGGTCTCCGTACAGCAAAAGTTTCCTTTCATTGGATGGGATTTGACTATGATGTCCCAAATGTGCTTATCAAAGTGTTCGCCTGCCTCTTACAACATCCTGATTATAAACAATATACTACCAACCTAATACTCTTGAGAACAGCCTCTGAATGGGGATTGGTGAGGGTTTAGAATACAGAGAAAATTATTCTGAGCATTTTATTGGCTGTTCTTTTACCTGGGTTTATATGAACGTGGTTTTACAGTTGTGGGGTTTTCCTGTTTTTAGTACCTGGTTATTTGGAAAGGAAAAACATCTTAATTTAGAGGTATAATAGTGTCTCATACTGAGGGTCTTAAGCAATTTGAAAAATAAATGTAGCTTCATTTAGATTTTATTATGTTGTAAGATTCGAGAGAGCTGTATTTGTTGTATTTAAATAAGCTATAATTGTAGTGAGAAGCTACTGCACATTCTACTTTGCTTGTTAAAATCCAAATTTTAGTTGGCGCATATACAACGTATTTCATTTGGTATATCCAAAATTTGAAGGCAAAGTTTGAAACAGACACATTCAGTAAGAAATAGGGGTTAAAAAATAAGAGCCTTTCTTAGTATACTGGAAGATCATCATCGTTTATTTTTCAAATAAAATGTGCATGGTTACCAATAGATTGTACCAAAGGTTTGGTTGTGTGACTAGCAGGTGGGAGGGCAGTTTGTGAGCAGTTTGAGAGCGAATTCTATGATAGTATTTACCAAATTTTATGTGTATGGGTTCTCAGAAAAGCAAACAGCCTTGACTGATTGAAAGGAAGTAGGAATTTTAATGATCATACTCTTTTTAAATGAAATACTTTGACATCAATTTGAACTTTAGGAATAATCAGATGTAATGAATTATAATGTCTGTGATTAACAAAGTTACAGTTCTGTGAGTGGCAAGATGAATAGCCAAGCTTAGTTTGATACAATTTTGCCCTCAGCTGTGCAATTGAACTGCATTGTTCTTTTAAATGTGGCACACTGAATGGGAGCAGGGGATATGGCTTTTTTATTTTGGGAGACAGAAACTACTTTTCTGATAACAAGGAATTAGATTCAGAGTTAACTAAAAGGCTCATTTAACAGGCTCTTACTAATCAGATCACTGAGATAATGTGACTTTATAGCTTATTATGTTTCCCCCCCTTCTTTTTTCTTTCCTTTTTTTTTTTTTCTTTTTCACCTGCCTGGTAGCTGATGATAATATCTGATGGACTCCAAGGAATCACTAAGCCCCCCGAGTAAAGAAGTCTCTAGCAGTGTGCTTGGTCGCGCGAGGGGAAATGTGATGGACTTCTATAAAACCCTAAGGGGAGGAGCTACTGTGAAGGTTTCTGCTTCTTCACCCTCACTCTTGGCTGCTTCTCAGTCCGACTCCAAGCATCCAAGACTTGGGGTTGACTTTTCAAAAGGCTCAGGAAGCAATGCACAGCAGCCAGATCTGTCCAAGGCGGTTTCACTCTCCATGGGATTATATATGGGAGAGACAGAAACTAAAGTGATGGGAAATGACCTGGGATTCCCACAGCAGGGCCAAATCAGCCTTTCCTCTGGGGAGACAGACTTTCGGCTTCTGGAAGAAAGTATTGCAAACCTCAGTAGGTCGACCAGTGTTGCAGAGAAGCCCAAGAGTTCAGCGTCTGCTGCTGTTTCTGCTGCCCCCACAGAGAGGGAGTTTTCAAAAACACTCTCGGACGTGTCTTCAGAACAGCAAAATTTGAAGGGCCAGACTGGCACCAACGGGGGCAATGTGAAGTTGTATTCCACAGACCAAAGCACCTTTGACATTTGGAGGAAAAAATTCCAGGATTTGGAGTTTTTTTCTGGGTCCCCAGAGAAAGAGTCGAGTGAGAGTCCTTGGAGATCTGACCTCTTGATAGATGAAAACTGTTTGCTTTCTCCTTTGGCAGGAGAGGATGATCCATTCCTCTTGGAAGGAAACTCGAATGAGGACTGTAAGCCTCTTGTTTTACCGGACACTAAACCTAAAATTAAGGATAATGGAGATCTGATCCTATCAAGCCCCAACAGTGTGCCACTGCCCCAAGTGAAAACGGAAAAAGAAGATTTCATTGAACTCTGCACCCCTGGGGTAATTAAGCAGGAGAAACTGGGCCCAGTTTACTGTCAGGCAAGCTTTTCTGGGGCAAATATAATTGGTAATAAAATGTCTGCCATTTCTGTTCATGGTGTGAGTACCTCTGGGGGACAGATGTACCACTATGACATGAATACAGCATCACTTTCTCAACAACAGGATCAGAAGCCTATTTTTAATGTCATTCCACCAATTCCTGTTGGTTCAGAAAATTGGAATAGGTGCCAAGGATCTGGAGATGACAACTTGGCTTCCTTGGGGACTTTGAACTTCTCGGGTCGATCGGTTTTTTCTAATGGCTATTCAAGGTAAGAACGCATTTCTATTTCTTAAGAACGGATATGAAATGGATTGGTTGACTTATATCTTCAGTGATTTGTATGTGTTTTCCAGTGACTCCTGTGCTTTTTCGTGTGACTAAGTTTAAGTGGTCCTTTTGAAAGTGGACACGGTTGAAAGACACCCTACGTGATTTATCTGTACATAAGCAAGTTTTCTCTGAAATAATGGCATTCAGGAATCATTGGCCAGTAGTTTATTTAAAAATTCAAAATAATGTTGCTCATTAACAGGTATCCTGAGTAAAAATTATATAAATTCGAGGGAGTTTGATATCTAATACTTCATTGATTGTGTGTTCACTGATATATTTTTAAAATACGCTCTTATATTAAAGTGAAAAGTACCCTTCATATTTTATAGAAGCAAAAGTGTGTGCTGTATTCATACACTTGTGAAATGTTAGCTTGAGGAGGTCAAAGGGTTAACAATTAAAGATCTAACAAAGAGCCTTTTCTTCACACTGAACTATCTGTGGCAGAATTTGAGTTTTGAGATTGCTAAAGCAATGCAGTGAGCAGTGAACCTGACCATAGCCTTAGACATGGGACTTGCCCATAGGTTCCCGATCCTAAAGTACATAGTTGTGTCTGCCGTTCAGTCTTGTTAGGAAAGGAATTGGTGGCAACATAGTACAAAACAAAATCTAACTTTGAAAAGTTCCTACAAGTTCTCAAATAGATACATGATGGCCAACATTGTGAAGCTTTGAATCTCAGCTGTCATTTGATTTCTCTTCTTTTTTTCTCGGTCCTTTGTAAGTATACTGACATTTCCGTTTGACCTCAAAAAGGTCTGTTAAAATGGAATTACCAGGAAAAGGTGCTAAATTTAGAGGTATCTGTTGATAGGAGTTAAGTTCTCTACCATGTACCCCTGTCCCCAATTCAGATAAATACTGGGTTGTAGATCACATTTTAGGTGTGAAGGAAATATAAAAATGTGATTGTAGAGAAACAGGATTGATTAATTGGGTGTGGTGGTGGTGTTTGTTGTTGTTGTTGTTTTGAAAGGCATAGTAGTAGACAGTGATTTATCTGTACATGAGCTTTTCAGGGGTTTGATTTTTTTTTTTGTTAGTGGCATTCATTGTTCCCAATAATTAGTCAATGAAGATTTTATTTAAAACTCTCTGTAAGATACTTTTTCTTTTAAAGATAAATCCTAACACTAACGTGTTTTCTTTTCTATCCTCTTTAAGGAGGAAGGTTTTTGGGTAGGGGAAAAAATTCAGACAGATTTTGGCTATGTTCTATTCCTTTAAAGGGCTTACTTGTTTCTTATCAATAGAAAAGACCTTGGTTCTTGTGTGTCTTCATGTAAACTATCTAGTAATCTATTATTTAAATAATAATAATCTTTTATTTAGAACACTACTTCAGCTTTTTATTGTTGTCATTCTGAATGGAAGGCTTAAAATGTTTTCAGTAAGGAGATTTGAGGTGTTTCTTATCGTGTAAGTTGTTGTGTTTAAATGTTAAAAGACATGCTGTGTTTTAAATTTTTCAATCTCAAAGTTTTGGCAATGGAGTTAATGATTCAGTGTGCTTGGTTGTCCTAAAGAATAAGTGCTGTTGATTTGACTGAGCTGTCTGTAGGAAACTATTACACTAATTTATAAAACATGTAATTGTACAAAGAAACATAATACATCTTAGGAAGCTCTTTGGGGATTATTAATGCATTTTGTTCTAATAATCACCATGGTACTGTTTTCATTTTTCTTACTGTAAAAAAAAAATAATAATAAAAGGCATAGATCAAGACAACCATTTTTCATCCACGGTGAACTTTGATTAAGCCTTTAAAATCTGGGATCTGGAGTGTAAGTCTTAGATGAACATAGATACCCTTACATCATTAAAGATAATTTAATGCTTTTCATAAGAGTTTAGGACGTATAAAGTGTCTTCACTTTTAATTTGAGCCTCATAACAACCTTATGGTGATAGGCAAAGCAGTGATGATGTGGCTCTTTCGAGATTATTTACTATCCAATGAAATGATTATTTTAATGCTGATGTGTGATTTGTAATTATAATCAGTAGTTTGTGTCCTAATGAAAAGGTGTAGTATCTTATACAGGATACTTTGCTAATGTTTGAAAATTTCATACCTTATGCCATTAACGTGGGGGACTGTGATTATCCAGTACAAAGCTTCTTCCAAGTAAATAGAAACAATGTTTCTTTTCTAACCAGCATTGAATTAGTCTATTGTTTCCACACAACAGCCCTGATATAACTAAAATTGGTGCTTTCTCTTCTCTATATGTTACACGGTTCTTGTCAAACAATAGCTATGAGCAGTGACCCAAGTGATCAACATGTTGAGACCACAACTGTAGTGAATACTGACTTTCTGACTTGAGAATATTCTGTGCCACTAATAACTTCGCTTGCATTCCTTTTTTAATTAAAAAAAACATAAATTGTACTTTGACTTTTTAAGCTGTCACCTAAAATTGCTTTTTCTCAAAATGCTAAAAAACAAAACACTTTACACTCTCTTTTGCCAGGGAAGGCAACTCCTACTGATTTGTCAACATAGGTTAACATCCAGTTCACATTTATTTGTAAAATTATGATTATCATGATTGAGTATAGTCAAATATTTTCTTTTTAAGGGTTAAGTTCATTGATCCTAAAACAAGAGAAAACATAGTGATATTCACATACATTCTTAAAGTAAAACAAACTAGCCATACTAACTGAATATGCTTTTTAAATACTGAAATTCAACAAATTTAGCATAAACTAGTAACATCGATGAAAACACATTTTTGCACTTAAGCATTAATGGTGCAGCTGCTGAAAGGAGGCAGAGGAGTAAGTGGTTTTAGGTAGAATTAGAGCTTTTATTGGGATTATGTTGAAACTTAAGTGTTAAAAGGTTGACCATTTTGTGAAGGGTAAGATTGTTGAAGAGAAGAAATGATGCAAGATGAATTTGTAAACTCTGCCTTAGGGAGAGTTGAGGGCTTTGATTTATAAAGCTCTGAAAATTTATGTAGATTTTAAACATCTGTCAGTATTAATTGCATCCGTGTCCAATTTTATTAATGTAATGAAATTGAAGACCTGTACAAACACAGGATGAGCGAAGCAAATTCTCCCCGTCCCCTCCTTTTTTTCCTATTAACACTGTGCTAAATGTTTTCTCCAAAAAGAGGCATAAAGAAGAGATTTTTGTTTTGGTTATGATTTACTCCCCTTTTTAAAGGATAGTTGGTTTACTTCCTACCTTTTGTTTTTCCTCTCCTTCCAGAGGTTCTGGCAGTGAGTATTTCATTGTCTTTTTTGGGTTTAATGTTAAAGGAGATTTGCTTTAGGTTATTTACATACTTACTTTTAGCTTTATGATAAGTATCTTTTTCATTTTTAACACTTGTACTTTATTAGGGCTGTCTTAGTAAAAGAAAAAAAAGATAAAACATACTGTGTGTATTCAGGTGTGTCAATTTAGTGTGGAATGACTCCGATATAGAAATACGGGATTAGTATGTGGTCAGATTTTATTGAAATTATTTTTTAAAATGTTTATTTGGTCATTCCATTATATTTGTATAATTGATAACATAATGTGTATTGTGATGCTGTTATGGTTTTGTCTCTTGGTGTTACAGATACTTTAGTTGGACTACTTTAAATATATCATTGAATGTTTATAAATTTTATGAAAGACTTACTCTGTAACATACCTTGCATAAATGTAGGTTAAGTGCAAATTGTATTAATAATGAAATTCATATGTGGGTGGAGATCACTGTAGGGGCCTTTTGAGATTTTAGTGAAGGAGAGATTGGATCAAAAGGGTTTATTTTAGTATGAGTACCTAATGTGAAAGAGCATCTGTATTAATTGGTTGGTTATATAAGTCTTAATCCACTCTGGCCTGCAGGTGATTGAAATAGCCTAGTTAGGAAATCTTAATTTACATTAGGTTTAAAGTAAGTCTGGGGCATATTTCTTAAAACATATTTTTTTCTTACTTTAAAAGATCACATCTAGTTTTAATTAGTGAGCTCTGTTTATGTACTACTGCTTATGTGAGCAAATTAAATAGGCATTCTAGTAATTGTATATGGTAGTATTTATAGGTATTTGCCATATTAACAGGCACCTGCTTCCATATTTCTGAGTCATGCAGAATACATGTTGGTCACTTTTGTTGCACAAGAGTTTTCAAGAAATATTGTTGAATTAAGCTATAGCTGAAAAAAAAATCAATTCCTGATTATTGACCCTTCAGAAGGGTTTAAAAGCCCATGCTCTTATTTCTGTAGTTTCAGAGAGCCAACTGCTCTCATTTTCTTCTGGTTTATTCTGCTTACGTTTTGTATTTCTCAAGTAAATAGAAATATTCCTACCATTTAGTATATGTGCTGCCAAAGCAAGCACATATTCCTACCATTTAAAGAAAGAAAAGATCCCACTGAGTGTTCTTTTTCCTGTGAATTGCTATGCCGAACTGGATTAGAATGTGACTGTTAATGGAGATTTTTATCTTCATTTTGTTCATTAAAGTGTATATTTTAGAAAATATGCAATTTTTTTTTTTTTAAAGATTTTATTTATTTGACAGAGAGAAACATAGCGAGAGGGAACACAAGCAGGGGGAGTAGGAGAGGGAGAAGCAGGCTTCCCGCTGAGCAGGGAGCCCGATGCGGGGCTCGATCCCAGGACCCTGGGACCATGACCTGAGCCGAAGGCAGACGCTTAACGACTGAGCCACCCAGGCGCCCCAGAAAATATGCAATTTTATAGCAGTTCAAAATTAGTTGTAGACAGTGATTTCAACCTCCAAAGACCTAATTTTAACAGGCTGTCGTCTTTATCTGAACTGCCATTACATATGTACCTTAAATGCAGGATTTCCCGTGGAGTTTGTTAATTAAGTAAGGGGGCAAGGGGGTGGGAGAGGGAGGAGCACTAGAAGTGTGGAATGGTGGAGGTTAAGTTTAAAAATA